TTAAAAAGAAAAAAACCTGAAAAATGAAAAAAAAAAAAAAAAAAAGGTGAAGACCTGACTTGTTAAAATGTGAAAGAAAATGCCTGGTTTGGTGTAATTTCCACTTTACGAAATTTGTTTTTTTTTTAATTATAGATCTAAGCCTGAAGGACAAAATAAAATAAATTTTTTTTGGTCCAGCCGAGTGTGGACCAGCCCCTGGTGTCTGGGGTCCTCGAAACTTTGGCCTAGCATAGAACTGCATTAGTCATGTCGGACTCCCTGTCCAAATAGAAATTAAAATACACACTTTCTTAAATAGAACTGCATTTTCACTATGTAACACCACCATTTATCAAAACTATATATGAACCCAACTTTATTTCAAAATTATAGATAATTTAGCGGAAAAGATTGATGTATGTTATGGTTGTGGCGGTGGTTGTAAGATATAAGAGCAAAAAAAAAAAAAAAAATAGAAGACATTTTTTTAATCTTTAGAAGTGTAATTATTTCATAGCGGGTCTAAAACCAATCACAGATATATCAGATTAGGATGTCGATCCAATTAGCACCGAAAGTGGCCGTAAACAATTAGTAGCACTATTTTTCCTTTTTATCTTGGAACAATTCTGTAATTGAAATTCAAAGCTTGCATAGGACTATCCTATTCGATTTCAATAAATATAGATAATATGCAAATAACAATCACAAGAATACGAGATATACGTGAAAATTCAAGACGAAAAAAATCACGTATGGAGACGGAGAATTCACTATAATCAAAATAAGGAATTATAATATGTTAGATTGGATCTCACAAGACTCTCTTCTAAATATCTCTTTCTGTGAGGCTCTCTCTCTATTAATCTGGAGTCTTTTGATCACTCTTTGAATCGATCAAATAAATGTACGATACATCACATATTTATAATACAAGAATCTCTAGCATACTAGAAAAATTAATACAAATAAGAGTCTAACACAAAATTAAATTCCATTACAATAGATAAAATCAATAACGGAGTATTTGAGTTGAAATATGAGTCCCAAATTAGCCAAATTGCAAAACCTTAAAAAAATCAGATAAAAATGTCGTTCAAGCGATCAGCTTGCACCTAACGAGTGGCCAACGCCTTGTTTTGAGCGCCTATAAGCGGCCATTGAACCATTTTGCGACGACTTCTTTTCTTGCTCCATCTTTTGTCTTCTTTGACTCCATATAATAAACAAACGAGTGGCCAACTTCCTATTCTGAGCCCTCGAGCGCCTATAAGCGGCCAGAGAACGGTTTTGCGACAACTTCTTCTTCCTTGTCCATCTTTTGTCTTCTTTGACTCCATATAATTTTCTACTTCTTCAAGACATCTTCAAAATAAAAAAACTAATTCCAAATATACCTCCAAAACAGAATTCGAGTCATACTGAAATTTTAACAAATCTCAATTTGATACGAATTCCACTGCAAGGAATGAAACTTGACTTTTTAACGAACACCAAAAATTCTCTAAACAGAATACTGCACCTCTCCCACAAAGTTCAACAGGGCAAACTCAACAATTGCCTACTGAATCCAAGAACAGCTTATTTGAAGGCTTACATGGGGTACCAAATTTATTAGAATTACCATGAACAACCCGATCACAATAAATTCCATTTGAATCAATATTTATCAAACCATAAACAACCAAATCAATCTCATCGAACATCTTTTGTGGTCTAATATCTCTTTTCTTGAAATTTGTGACAAGTGCATCAAACGTGATTGTCGAACATTCTAAAACATATAAATGGGGTCTTCTCTGCTCCTTTATCACAATTCGATCCTTAAATTGTTTATCTTCTAGCGTCCAAATAAAAAATTGTCATAACAAAAATTCGGTGTTGCGATTCGAAAGCGGAATTTCAAACTTCATACTTGCTATCCCAAGATAATCAAACATCGTTCAGAGTTGATCAAATCTTGCTCTAATATGAAACCGAATAGGCTTTTTCGGGAACTGTCAAACCTTGACTCTTATACTACTTGTTAGAAATTGAGTCAATTGTTATGAACATTAAAAATGAGATATAAGAAATATGAAAATAATAATCACATGAACACAAGACTTACATGAAAACCCAAGACAGAAAAAATCATAGATAAAAGCAAAGAATTCATTATAATCAAAGTAAGAAGTTACAATAATGTGGACTGAATCTCACAAGATTCTTTTCTAGATATCTCTATTTGTGAATCTCTCTATTAATTTGGATCACTATTTGAGTCAATCAAATAAATATATGTAATAAACCACATATTTATAATACATGAATCACAAAGAGAATTAATAACAACAAGAGTTTAAAACAAGATGAAATTTTATTGCAATAGGTAAAATCAATAACTAAGTATTTCAGTCGAAATAGAAGTCGCAAAACTACCCAAATCACAAAACCCTAAAAATTCGGATAAAGTTATTGCTCGAGCGGCACCTCGCGGCTAGCTAGCAGTGCCATTGTGAGCAGCCAGCTCGCACCTAGCGAGCGCCAACATCCTATTCTGAGCGCTTAATGAGAGGCCAGCGATCGGTTTTGCGATGACTAATTCATCCCAATCCATCTTTTGTATTTTTTAACTCCTTGTAGTCTTATACTTCTTAAAAGTTCTCCAACACAAATAAGAAACTCTAAATATACCTCAAAAATAGAATTCAGGTCATACCAAAATTCTATCACTCTCTCTTTTATGCTTCCTTTGTTTTTTTATCTCCTATTAAATTAATTAATTATTTTGATATTCTATTTTTTTTATTTAGTAATAAATCTTTTACCTATTTTCCAATGTAAATTGAGATTCCCAAGTCTCAAAAATAATTTTTTTTTTCTCGTTGAAGTTTATAGATTATGCAATTTAACATTGGAAATATTTTGCATTCAAAATTTATCGTCATTATCTATTTAAAAATTATGTGTGTCAAGTCAATTTTTTTTTTTTTTTTAAAGCCATCGGTGATTAATCAAATGAGAAATTGAAAACATGGCACGTGTCATATTATATTTTTTCTCAAGATAAATAAGTGATTAATCAAACATAAACACTACTAATTAATTAACATAACGAATCTTTATGGCTCGTGCTCACACGTTCAGATGAAGCTCCAAAATCTCACCAAACAGCAAACTGAAAAGGATTTGCATTCCCAACATGGCTACCACGACCTAGTATTTACCTAGTATTTATATTTCATTTTCTTCCTTAATTTCCCCAAAAAAGACCGTAGCCATGGCAAGTCCAAATTCTCTTCTTCTTCTTTCATGGCTTCTTGTTTTTGTCCTCTCAACCGCTTTTGCTCACCCTTTAAAGCTAACTCGAAACAAAACCCTATCTAGTTACATTCCAAGATACCCTAGGCCTAGTAACAAATTAATGAACAAAATAGACTCATGTTGGAGATCAAACCCTAATTGGGCTTCTAACCGGCAAGCGTTGGCGGATTGCGCTATAGGGTTCGGGAGCAGTGCAATGGGAGGTAAAAATGGTGCAATTTACGTTGTCACTGATCCCTCTGACGACCCTATTAATCCCAAATTGGGCACACTCCGATATGGTGCAATCCAGACCAAGCCTCTATGGATCATTTTCCAAAGGGACATGAGTCTTGTACTCAAGAATGAGCTTATGGTGAATAGTTACAAGACTATAGATGGAAGGGGTGCTAGGGTTGAGATTGCAAATGGACCATGTATCACTATTGAAGATGTGAGCCATGTGATCATCCATGGGATTAGTGTACATGATTGCAAGCCAGGGAAACCGGGCATGGTCCGGAGCACACCGGATCATGTAGGCCACCGAATTGGAAGTGATGGAGATGGTATAACTATTTTTGCATCAACGAATGTATGGATCGATCATTGCTATCTTGCTCGGTGCACCGATGGTCTCACTGATGTCATCCATGCATCAAACGGTGTGACCATCTCTAACAACTACTTCACCGAGCATGACAAGGTAGGTGCTTGTTTTGCACATAGCATTGAAGGTGAACCACGATAAATTTGTATTTGGACCTAATTTTTGTATATTTGAATTTTATTTATTATTTTTGCCGAATCTCGATGAATTAATGTTTACAATAATTCTTATATTATGCGTGTACAAGGCTTTAGTTGATATAAGTTATATGAAAATTGAAGGTGATGTTGCTTGGACATCAAGATGGCTATACAGCTGACAAAATTATGAAAGTCACGGTCGTTTATAACCATTTTGGCCCTAAATTAGTGCAAAGAATGCCAAGGTGAAGACATCTTGATCCAATATTGTTGTCGTTTACGTACGAATAAAAAGTTCAAATTTAACGACAATTTTTTTCTTTCCCTAAAGTCATTTATAAGTTGCTTTGATCGGACAAAAATGCATAATTAAAAGTGAATTTTATTGGACGTAGAGCCTGATGCAATGTACATTTTGATTGGTTCGATTTCAGGGTTCGATATGGCTATGCTCATGTAGCCAATAATAGGTACGATGAATGGATTATGTACGCCATTGGCGGGAGTTCAGACCCAACCATATTTAGTGAAGGCAATTATTTTGTAGCATCAAACGATCCATACGGCGCCAAAGAGGTACATAGCAAATTCATCTCATTTGAAAGTTTAAAAAATGAAATAATTTAATATACTATCAGATTAAATAAAAGATTCAATTTCAATTATTCCCACCACTTGTTAATAAAAATGCAATTCTGTAATGAAAAATGAATTTTTCCTGCACTTGTGGCGACATGTTAAAACAAATAAATGCACATCTCCTTCATAGCTTTAAAAACCATGTTATCGACAAACAAATAAATGCACTTCTTCTTCGTAGGAAATTGTCTACTAAGCTCATTTGCCTAAATAACTTGACAAATCAATTAATTCTACAAATTTAATTAGATTTGTTGAATTGGTGTGTCATGTTAAGCAATTGTGTTTAGTAAATCATTTCTCGTGATTTAACATATTATCAATAGTTTTATTCAAAATTTGGAGTGGAAACACTTTCGTTTAAATTAGACAATGTTTGATTCAACTAAAAAAGTTGATTAAAATTTAAATCAAAATCAATAATTAATTTTAACGACACATTTAATGCGATTTACAACTTTTCAACTACACATTTCTTCAATTTTTAACAAAAATTACTGAAAAATCTGATTTTTATTTAAACCAAACGTGAACATATAGTCTTTGATATCACCCTAAGGGCCTAATGTGACATCAAGTGTCTGATACGAGTATCTTCTATATATTAAAAGTGGCTATGTAACGGAATTTCTTGTTTTTAACGGAAAAATTAACGGAATTTGTTGTTTTAACAGACTATGTAACGGAATTTCTTATTTTAAACAGGCAGCTGCACCTTCTTTCAGTGTTTTTATCATAACTTTGTATTCCGATATCCTATTGAGGCGATACAAAATGCGTTGGAAAGCTAACTCATCTGGCTACAACTTTATAGCATCAAACGATCCATACGGCGCTAAAGAGGTACACCGTACATAGCAAATTCATCTCATTTGAAAGTTTAAAAAATGAAATAATTTAATATACTATCAGATTAAATAAAAGATTCAATTTCAATTATTCCCACCACTTGTTAATATAAATGTAATTCTGTAATGAAAAATGAATTTTTCCTGCACTTGTGGCGGCATGTTAAACAAATAAATGCACATCTCCTTCATAGCTTTAAAAACCATGTTATCGACAAACAAATAAATGCACTTCTTCTTCGTAGGAAATTGTCTACTAAGCTCTTTTGCCTAAATAACTTGACAAATCAATTAATTCTACAAATTTAATTAGATTTGTTGAATTGGTGTGTCATGTTAAGCAATTGTGTTTAGTAAATCATTTCTCGTGAATTAACATATTATCAATAGTTTTATTCAAAATTTGGAGTGGAAACACTTTCGTTTAAATTAGTCAATGTTTGATTAACGACACATTTAATGCGATTTACAACTTTTCAACTACACATTTCTTCAATTTTTAACAAAAATTACTAAAAAATCTGATTTTTATTTAAACCAAACGTGAACATATTTAAACATAGTCTTTGATATCACCCTAATGTGACATCAAGTGTCTGATACGAGTATAATTTTAATAAATGTGTAGTAAGGAGTAGCAAGACTTGAAACAGATGGTACTTAACATTGAACGGTTCCACCTAAAAGCTTAAATTTTTAAACAGAAAACATATGTATTTATTTCAATTTAGTATTCAACATATACCCTCACACATCATCAAATGTCTCAACACATGTAGAATTCTTATAAATGTGAAATGGTAAGACATGAACTCATTCCCGCGTTTGATTCAATATATATCGAAAATCTTTTCTAGAAGCTTAAACCCTCATAGAAGGGATAACATATATTTATTTACTCATATTTAATCTTCGACGAGATTTGTTAAACACTTTGAAATATTTTGTGTGCGCGCGAGCATTCAGATTACAAAGAGAGAGACGCATGAGGGAAAGGGCTATTGGAAGAACTGGAAATGGAGATCTTCAAAGGATGTATTTATTAATGGAGCTTATTTTGTTCAATCAGGCTGGGGATATTCATCTCCCCTTTACTTCAACTCCCAATCCTTTGATGCTGATGCAGGATCATTGGTTCCTGCTTTGACTTCTGATGCTGGTCCTCTACAGTGTTATGTTCATCAACTATGCTGATCGATGATACTGTAGAAACTGCATATTTCATATTTTTATTTATTTTATTTTTTAAATTTTGTATCATGTTTTGATTAATTAAATCAAGTAAATGTTATTGTTTTCTGCATTGATACTTTCGTTTGAATTTCAATTAGGAAGGTGGAAGGTGGTGTTGAGTGACACTTTTCGCATACACTTTGTATGATTTTGCTGAAATATTAATGCAGTTTGTCGTTGTTAAATGTCGATAGTTATGTACTTAATTTATTTTATGATGGTAAGTCGTGGGTTGTTACGAGTACTTCATATTTTCATTTAATTCGGAGTACAAGGTTCTAATATTATAGACACGTAAATCGTGTTTAAAGTGACCTAGAAGTTTCCAAAATTGTCCTACCGAAAATAGAATTTGTGGCTCAAAATAGGGTTTGCTCGAGTGGCAGCCGGGTGCTGAGCCTAGTAGTTTGGAAGGAAATGCTCATAACTTTGGGTTAACAACCCAAATGGTGATTGAACTTTACAAAAAGTTATCACATGATCACTGAACTTTAAAAATCATCAAAGTCATCACTGAACTTTGCAAAATGTGTCACTGAACTTTAAAAATCACTCCATTGATCACTAAATTTGTAAAAATTTCCACGAAATCATTGAACTTTGCAAAACGTTTCCCAATGGATAACTGAATTAGTGATCCCCTGAGAATTTTTTTGCAAAGTTTAGTGATGAATGTGATGGTTTTTAAAGTTAAGTGACACGTGGAAACCTTTTGCAAAGTTCAGTGATGACTTTGGTGATTTTTAAAATTCAATATTCCTGTGAATGTTTTTTTGCAAAGTTCAGTGACTATTTGGGTTACTAACCCCTTTTGTTACGTAACACTGAATTGAGATATGTAGATTTCGTAGAAATCCTAATTAATTATCTTTCTTATATCATGTCTTGAGAAGATCTCTTCATAAATCTTAGCACACTAATTAAAAAAATTGTACTATCCGTCAACTTTGACCTATTATTGAGTAAGTTTAGGCGTAAATTAAAGAATTGAATATTATAAGTTTATGTGTTAATTTGTAAAATACAGCGAATTGCGCTATGACTTATGACTAATGAATAAGTAAATACATAATATGAAACAAAATTAAGTGTGAATATATGAATCAAATCCCAATTCTCTCTCTATTTTGCTTGATCGAAGTGTCAATGCTTCTCCAAATTTTGCTCCAATCAAACCTAATCACAACCCAAATTTTCCACGTCATGGAGTAAGCCACGTGGTTGTTGGTTTGTGGTCAACGTAAATCCCAGTCAACTTTTTTGGCTTTGACTTGAAAAATATTTATTTCTTCACCGAATATTAGTTTTTCCATTTAAAATAATAACTGATCAGAATTATTAACCTAAAAATTATGAAGAAATTGACAGCAAAATAGGGAGACCGTAAATATGGACTACTCAAATTAACAACTGGACTACATCAGATGACTGCGATAGTCAATGTTTCGTAAAAATTGAAAATGCATTTTAGTCAAATTAAATACAAGAATTTTGTTAGAATAATTCTGTCAAGTTTTATTCAATTCAATATATTAATATTTTCTTATTAAACCATTTCGTCCTATTCGTTATACCTCAAGCATGTACCAAACCTAGCCTAGCCCATTCCATTCCGCGACCTCGGGGTCCAAAGCTGTCATCACGAACTTAATTGACGTTAGATATGAGTACTATTCGATTTCAATGATTTCAAAAAATTAGATGAATTCTTTGATTTTGTTTCAAACGATTTTAACTATTAAAATCTAAATCGAACTGTTTCTAAATGATTCAGTTCAATTTCAAACAGAAGTGTTACCCAAACCAATGATTTCAAAATTGTGGTTTCGGTATGATTTCACGAGTGGACGATTTTTTGTTCAAAGTTAATTGACGTAAAATATCTTACAAAATTGAGATTTTTTTTGATTAATTATATTACAAAATCAATCATATTAGCCCATGTTTGAGCAACATCAAAATTTTCATTCTTATTCTTCTACTTATTTTCGACCACACATTCTTCAATAAAATGATATTTTTCGACACATCAATAATTTTTCCTTCTTTTTCAACCACACATTCTTCATTAATCTGTTATTCAAAAATACATTCTTTCAAAATAACGTGATTCAAACCCACAGTAACATTTATTTTAGAAACGGCGATGGTAAAAAAAATCATCGCTATGGTCCAAGTATGACGCAGTCCTCGGTTAACCAATCTATTTGCATAACCTCTTCCTCCACGCGAGCACACGAGTGAGTATTTGCTACGCGCCACCAAAATTTCACACACACTGGCCGAGTCGTCAGCCACCCACAAGAGATACGACCGTCAAATCCGTTGACTTTCTCTTTTCCATTTTTCATCACGTGGAACCCGCCGCATAAATCGGGGCCGGTGGCTTTTTATTACCACTCTCCCTCTGTTTTTTCTATCACGAACGAGTCAAACTCGGTCTTGACGAAATTCACAAGGAATCACCCTCTCTGTCTCTCCTACAAGTCTAAACTGTGGGCTCCGTTTCCACGTGGCAACCAACCCCGACGCTCCACCTTACGTAACTTCGTCATATACCCCACCACCTAAAACCTTCAACTTTGCAGTCTACATTTTTAAGAATTCAATTCGTTTGATTTAATCTCCAAACTGAGGATACTATGTTTTCTGTGAATTTGAATGGTAGGGAAGAGCAAGAGAGTTCATCATCGATGGCTTTAGGTGAAGTGGACTTCTTTTCTGATAAGACTGATCATATTCATATTGCTGTTGTCAACAAGGAAGATAATTCAGTCACCCCGAGAGAATTAGAGTTGAATGTATGTAGTCTATCTATCTCGACTGCATGTTCGATTTTAATTTCAGTCATTTAAAAGTTTAAGTTGTTAGACCAATTATAACTATTTATGTCTTTCTGTTCTTGCTTTAAATATAGACTGGTTTGCAACTTGTTACTGCAAATACTGGAAATGATCAGTCAACGGTAGAAGATGGGATTTCATCAGATCGAGATCGTGTGGAGGATAATAAGCTAGCCAAGAATGAAGTAAGGGGATTATAAGATTAATTTTATATATATAATCAGCCTAACAAGCTTAGATTTCTTATTGGTTTCTTTTTGCATATTTCTGGATATATAAGTTGTCAGAATTGCAAGTTGAGCTTCAAAGAATGAATTCCGAAAATCAGAAATTAAGAGGGATGCTTGCTCAGGTCAACAACAATTATAATGCACTAAATATGCAGGTTGAAGCACTCATGCACCAACAAAAAAATTCAAGTGCCGAAAAAAGGAAGGTAATTAATCCTCGTTGAAGGATTATATATGTAACAAAATTTTATGAGTCTGCGATAATCGACTGTTAATATTTTGCTATTTGTTCAGATTGGGGAAAGAAAATCTCAAGAAAAGAAAGAGAAAAATGTAGAATCTAGAGATTCAAGACAGTTCATGGACTTGGCCCCAGCTACGATGAATGAGATGGATGAACCATCAAATTCTTCATCAGAAGAAAGAACACTCTCTGGATCACCTCACACCAACATGGAACTGTTAAGAACTAAAAGGGTTGGAGGGAAAGAGAGCCTGGAATCAGATGGCTTGGCTCCTAACAAGGTTCTGAAATTGAATCCCTCGAAGCTTCTCGATCAAACCCCAGAGACTGCCACGAGAAAAACTCGGGTTTCAGTTCGAGCAAGATCAGAAGCTCCAATGGTAAGTACTTAATTCTTTGGATGAATAAGCAGTAAAATTTAGTTATAAATTATATCAAGTAACAAAATGTGAAATCGACTCCAAATTTTGAGGATCAGTTTGTTGTTATGGTCATCATCATAATTATCATGGAGCTAAATCTATATGTGAATTGCAGATATCTGATGGATGCCAATGGAGAAAATATGGACAAAAAATGGCAAAAGGAAATCCATGCCCACGAGCTTATTATCGTTGCACTATGGCAGTTGGTTGTCCAGTACGCAAACATGTATGTTCATGTTCATTTACTTGGCAAAATCTATAAATTTTCGATTTTTTAATGATGATATTTTGGAACTAAGGTTAAAGTGGATAGGACTAATCCAATCTTCATTACTATTTCATGCTGGTTGAACTTTTAGACTGATTGAATTTCATCGTTCGAACTTTTTCTTTCTTTATTTTGGGCTCAAATACCATATTGATTTCATCTTAAGGTTCAAAGGTGTGCCGATGACCAAACAATCCTGATTACAAGCTATGAAGGTAAACATAATCATCCACTGCCTCCGGCTGCCTTGGCTATGGCGTCCACCACCTCTGCCGCCGCCGATATGTTCCTTTCCGGCTCCACCACAAGTACTGATGGGTTGATGAATACAACTTTTCCGGCGAGAACTATTCTTCCTTACTCGTCTAACATTGCTACAATATCAGCTTCCACTCCATTTCCAACTGTTACATTAGACCTCACACAACCTCAAAATTCATTACAGTTCCATAGAACATCACCTGCCCAATTCCAATTCCCTTTGCCAGTGCCAATGGCTCAAGTTTTTGGGTCGAAATTTTCGGGGCTCCAGATGTCTCAGGATATCGAATCCACCTTGCCAAGCCAGGCAGAGCACCACCACGCACTTAAAGTTACAACGGCAGCCATTACCGCCGATCCTAATTTCACCTCCGCCCTTGCCGCCGCAATCACCTCCATCATTGGTGGCGCACATCCAATCGTCAGTGACAACTCAACCAATAATAATTCCAATTGATTTGTTCATACTTTTTGATTATATGTATTAATTACCCCTCAGACAAAAAGTTACTTCCCTTTTTTCTTTCCATGTTTTAGTAAATAGTCAGTGTTGCATTGCATTATTATGAACACCATTTGACAGCAGAATTGGAGACTTTTAGTAAGATCGAAGACTAACGTTAAAATAATCAAACGTATATTCTGATTCAGAAGTCAACAAATCCGGCCTTTATGAATCTTCATTCAAGAATGTCAGATAATCACGTCGAGGAACGTGCAGTTTACGCCTGTGAATGTGATAAACTTTGGTTAATTGTTACTTGTAAATGCATGCTATTCTAAGTGCATGCATGCTTACCGTTGCACATTTGTTGCCACCGGTTCTAATATTTGTAGACAGTAAAATTTGTCAGATGGAGTGACCAATAGCATACCGATCACCTTCCCTTTCACCTATGTATCATCTGCACACTGGAATACACAATGTAAAATCGGATTAGGTAACTTTCGAAGGAAATAAACTGGTTTTAAATAATTAGGTGGAAAAATATTAGTGTATGTATTGTTGTGTATTTTATTGGAGAAGTGAGATACGTTATTGACTTTCGTGCCAAAAGATGTGCCTTCCAATCATATTTGCATAAAATATTGTGAAAATTGCATTCTGGATTCCAAACATTTCATTTAATAGCAATATTAACACAAACCTTTCATTTGTGTCATCCATAATATTAAACATTACAAAAATTCGCACCAAGAGTTCAAATGGATGGAAACAGTTAATTCACAAATCTCATCCACCCACCCCCACCCCCACCCCCACCCCCACCCTAACCCTACCCTACCCTACCCTACCCTACGCCCTAAAAATATGACAGTATCACCGTCGGAATCAATGCCAGCACCACACCACCATCAGCCCACCACCATTTAGAAAAAGAATTATTAGGGTCACTACCAAGCGTCACTGCCACCTGTTGGGAAAAATCCCCTCGAACGCAGGAATTGAGATTAATAATGAATTGAAATAACAAATATCACAAGAAAAAGAACAAGATTAAAGTAAAGAAAATAGAGGAGAAATTGACGGAAGAACCGATGTTTTGTTCAACAATATGGAGAGAATACAGTGTAAACTTAGCAATCTAAGCTTCTACTTAATTGAAATAAGAGCATCCCTATTTATACTACACATACAAATACTAGGAACATGTCAAGATATGGAAATAATGAAGAAAACGTGTAAAAGACAGCCAAAACAAGATTTTATTACCATAAATCTCAGATCTTGTTCGATATTTTCCAATCCCAATTGATCACGTTTCTTCCTCATATGGTAACCCAATTTTGGTCATCAATCCCAACAATCTCCACCTTGACCCAAATTTCGGTGCAATAAACTTCAAAATTTCTCCACCTGAAAAATGACTCCGTCTGCATCGAAATGAACAGTTTTCTCAAACAGTAACCAAAACTCTCCATCACACAAAAAACATCTTCTTCTGCCCGGCATCCACAAATGACACCTGAACCCTAAACGCGGGTTCCCAAAATTCCAACAAGGAATTGATTATTGACCAAGTAGGGTCGAAGCACTCCCTGTAGCAGAATCTACTCCAGATGCATGATCAGAAGGCCCCTTACTAGAACTGTCACCTTCAACGATCCCAAATGCATTGCAGACATCTCCAACACTGTACCTACACTCCATAAGTCCAACACTAGTATGTGAACACGGTGAATCCGCTGTAATCGGTGGCAAAGCGAAATCACCAACACTCTCCTGAGCAATGTTCTGAACTGACCCAGAGTCTGTCACAAGAGGTACTGTACCAAATTAAATTTCCAACACGGTACTGAACTTGTCCAAATGTCTCTTAACTGGTTCTGCGCTCCCCTGCAAGATGTACAATGAGACTTCATCCGTCCTTCCAGTACAACCTGAGCACCCTTTCGGACCTTCAATGCTCCACCTCCACCAGAGAATTTATACCCCTTTGCATCCAGGGTACTTAGCGAGATGAGATTCCTTTTCAAGTCTGGAACATGACGAACCTGATCAAGTGTTCTGATTGTCCAATCCTGCAACCTCAATCTGATACGACCGATCCCAGCAACCCGGCAAGATTGGTTGTTTCCCATGACAACTCCACCTTACTTCACCGCCTCATATGTTTGAAACAAGTCCCGATTAGGACACACATGGTGCGAACATGCCGAATCAAGAATCCACTCCTCGTCAGGATTGGACTCCACGTCAGATACCACAGTCACCATCACATCACCGCCATCAGATAAATACTCGATAAGGTTAGCATCATCCGAATTAGAAGATTGCCCCCTATTATTTGCAACTGAATTACCTTTAGCTTGCAACTTGTCGCAATCCCTCTTGACATGCCCTTTCTTCTTCCAACAGAAGCAATACACATTGCTGAAGTACCCTTTCGGTCTACCCCTCCGTTGACCACCATGAGAAACCAGAGCGTCCCCATCCCTTGATGTAGTAGCTCCAACCAAATGCTTCATCTTCTCCTTTGAGAATAAAGCATCGTAAGCGTATTCAATGGTCAACGGTCACGACTGTATAAGATCGTGTCCCGAAACAACGAATAAGAAGTGGGTAAAGAACACAACAGAATCAAGGCCAGATCCTCCTCATCATATTTTACCTCCAACATTTCCAGATCTGCAACAGTTTCCTTGAACACAGCCAGGTGGTCTTCTAGTGATCCTCCTGCTGCCATGCGATGGGAATACAGCATTTGCTTTAGATGTAGTTTGCTCGTGAGACTTTTGGTCATGCATAACTGCTCCAATTTCAACCACAAAGCAGTCGATGTTTTCTCCTTCAAGACATCCTGCAGAATATTATTGGAGAGATGAAGATGAATCTGCGATAAACCCTTCCTGTCTTTCATTTGTTTCTCCTCCGTTGTCCAGTTTGCTGGCATTTTATCAAAACCCAGCAGAGCATCGTCCAAATCCATCTACGCCGACACAACCCTCATCTTTACTTGCCATAGTAAAAACCTTGTATTGCGATCCAACAACGGAATATCATATTTCAATGAAGCCATCTCTGAAAAATCTCAATCAAATCACAAAGAACCCACAACCTTGGCTCCGATACCTCTTGTTGGGAAAAATTCCCTTGAACGCAGGAATTGAGATTAATAACAAATTGAAATAACAAATATCACAAGAAAAAGAACAAGATTAAAGTAAAGAATATAGAGGAAAAATTGACAGAAGAACCGATGTTTTATTCAACAATATGGAGAGAATACAATGTAAACCTAGCAATCTAAGCTTCTACTTAATTGAAAGAAGAGCATCCCTATTTATACTACACGTACAAAACCTAGGGACATGTCAAGATATGTAAATAATGAAGAAAACGTGTAAAAGTCAGCCAAAACAAGATTTTATTACCATAAATCTCAGAAGTTGTTTGATATTTTTCAATCCCAATTGATCACGTTTCTCCCTTATATGGTAACCCAATTTGGGTCACCAATCCCAACACCACCAAAACCGTCAAGAAATCGCTCTCTGTACCACCACGCCTCGGAGTAGTCCACAATCCCAGCATCACCACTACCACGAAGAGAAAGAATAATTACAACTAGTAGCATCATCATCATCCAATCTCCATTACCACCACTAGTTCATCAATCTTCAGAGTTTTTCAATAAAATCAACAATCAAGTTTTGGAAGTTTAGAAGAAATACCATCACGACCGAAGATAGGGAAACATTCTCATCGCCGCAAAAGGACCAAGGGATCGTCGCGTTCGCCTCGTCACACATACTGCCTTCAGTTCTATGATGTACATGACTGCCTTGGCTATGACCGCTCGAGTACAGTGTACATTAGTTAATAAAGAAGGCTCGGGCAGTCATTGAAGACCTTGCGCAACTGTCAGCCTAGAAACCGACCACCAATTCATCTATAGTTGAAAGTTTTGAGCAAGAAGATGCACAAAAACTGGGGATTCCGTTGACCAAATAGAAAGTGACTATGCGTGTGTTTGTGGAAAGAGTGACGATGGTAACGTCGTTGGATCGGGTGGGTTTATAATTTGTTTTAGTTAGTGATGGGGCAGGATGGGGATGGGGATGTTGGGAAGAAGAAGATAATTTTGATTTTGATTTTTAGAAGGGAAAATGTGATCCGACTAAAATGTAATTGTCTTTGTTGGTCAAAATTATCAATTTTTTGGTCAACTGATGGCTTAACTAACTGATTCCATCATATTGGACTTCACGTGTGAATCTTTGAAATGTTTGGGATCATGGATGGTACAAATAAAAGGATTGGGTCAAGTCTACTAGTAAATAAAATGTTTGGTATCGTGACTTAATTTTCCCTAAAATATTTGAAATACAATTGCACACTTGACTTTTTTTGGGGGAAGGGGTAACAGTCGTACCGTACTACATCCACCGTACAACTATGTTTACCAATGACTCCCACCTCGTGATTCCAACATGAAATTTGGGAGGAAGAAAAACGATTTCATTTACTATTTTGTTAATTAAATTTAAAAATATTACTCTTTTGTTAATTATATTTAAGAATATTATCATTTCATCTTCTTCGTGCAGTTCCCGACCCTCATGTCGAACTCTTTATTGAAAAATGGGATTATTAGGTCCATCATTATAGCTGAGCCTGCTTAAAAGAAAAAAATGGTTATTTTTTGTTAATGATCAAACCTGGTGGCGAGAACAAGTGGTTTGTGATGGTGTGATTGTGGGTTGCAGAAATGGTAGTGGTGGGAATGGGTGAGGAGAGAAGCTTGGTGGGTGGGGAATGGAGGAGTAGACAGCGGGTAGTGTAAATTTTATAGAGTTGTGGCTAACATTTGGAATGGAGAATTGTTTCGGCAGGGGTGGTGGCCAGACTCTTCTCCAGTTACTCCCATGTTTTGGAAATTTTGCTTTGTTAACCATAAAAGAGGCCCAAAGAAAGGTCCATTTGTCAACTCAGTAATGGTCCATCTTTCAGAGCTCAATCCTACCCTCATTTGTCAATTTATGATACAAAACCAATAAGATCAATTGAATCAACAATGCACGGTAATTTTCCAAATAATTATCTATATTTCTCCATTCTATAACATCGCAATTTTGTACGGACAAGAAATTGAGCAAACCATCAGTGGATGTACGTTTTTCGCTTTCTACGTTCTTTTTTTCTTCCTCTGAGAGCCGCCTTTCAACCATAACACACAAAATCTGGAATAATAAAGAAAAACACTAGACATGTTTCTTTAAATAACCTTTTTGCTATTGGAATGTGACAATTTTCGATCTAGAGATTGCAACTGGCTTCGAAGGTTCTGATTTTCCTCGAGCAGGCGATCATATTCAAGAAGAAATCCTTCTGATTGTTTCTTTAAAGCTGTAGCATTGGCTTCTGCACTGTTTGCCTCTTTAATCTTTTCCTCGAGCTTTGACTCCAACTGCTTAATCCTTTCATGCGATGTAGTCTTCTCTAGTTCCAAGGCTTTGATTTCCTCGGAAGCGGGAGTCTTACCATTCTCAAAAGCTCGGTTCTGTTTCTTTACAGCTTCCATGCTCTTCCTTCTTATGCGAAGTTCTCGGATATAATGATGTAGTCTATCAATCATAAATGCTAGGAACAAAGAAAACCCTGCAACAATTTTTACAAATCAAAAGGACGTGAACACGAGCATTGGGCATCAAAATATGCTTCAATATAAAGAGGTTACATATAAATATACAAGTATATACATTTTTGGTTACATATAAATACACAAGTATATACATTTTTTGGCGAATAAATATAGCACAAGCTTAAATTTCAGATTGTGTTCATCAACAAAGTAATGGACATTGTTTTGCATGCAATAATTTTCCTTATTTCAGTCAATGAAAGAATAATATAGTGATAACGCTAGCAAATCTTCTTTCTCAAGTTCCACGTTAACTGGATTTAAAGTCATATCAGCCATTATACCCAACTCATATCTGACGGAAAACAATTTACTCAACTATTGCCTTAGAGATACTGGAAATGAGAGCTTCAGGTGTGATTTGGAATAAACATCAATTGGAGTTTAAGCCTGATCTACTATGTCATCTGCAATCTATACTCTCAAAACAGATTTCTTGGGTCATTATTTAGGCATCAGTAATGGTACTTTGTCTCCTCTAGTAGATGATAATAGATGTTTATAATAAGTCAAATTACCAAAACGGGATTGAATAATAGTTGAATACAAATGAACTTTCGCCTGAAGATGTCAATGCAGCATTAACAAAGTTAAATTATGAATATGATTATTTTGTTTTTACTTTTTACTATGTGCTTTTTTGGTCATGCTTAAAAGTTGCTTTTCTAGAAGTACATAAAGTAGGAGCCACAATTATTGCACAAGACCCACAATTTGTTTATTTTAAGCCTCAAAAATTAGCAGGACCGGTACATATAAGCACTTATATGCACGTCCAAACATGTTCTATGAAAGATGGGAACACAAATTTAGGACACTGTTCAATGCAAACATGTATTGCTTTCCGACATATATAAGCTATTAATGAGAAAGGCAAAATCCATATGGGCATACACACCTGTATATTCACTCTATATAGTTAATATTCCAAGGAAGATAATACAATTAAACTAATCAACCAAGTTTCACTAAGGAGATTACATGACGTTGATGTGCTGGAGTGTAAGAACTTTTGAGAAGCTTTCTATTCAAGAATAAAATGCAATAACGTGGCATGAGATTCACTCAAATCCAAGCTTCTTAATCTTTTCCAGTCACACTTTTTATAGTTTTAAACATCCAGACCAATTGGCCATTGTGTAATAGAAATTAACCTAATTCCGACACTTCTACAAGGAAAGTCAAAATTTTAAAATAATAAATCTAAATTCTTATACAATAGAAATATTTAACTCAAAAACAAACAACAAGAACACAAAATTAAAAATAAATGAATAATGTTATTTATGATAAATTATTGGTGAAGTATAATTTTGCAGTGAAGCATAATTTTGCAAAAAAGTCAGATTTCATAGAAAAAGGGACTAAATTGGAAAACAGAACAAGATTTTTTGAACTATTACCCATGAGAGAAGCTTCAAGAAGATGCTTAGCAAGAAGAATCTGATCAGTAGTGTTGACGTCACCATCATCAATCCAACGCCTATGGATCGCCACCACATTGTACCCGCTAGACACCATCACTATAAAAATAGTCCCCGCCACAGTCTTGACCACAATTGGGCCGCGTCCTCTCTTGACCCGGTCCAGGCCCATTATAGCCAACTTCCTAAATGGCGTTTTGAACACGAAGGTCACGATCAGCGCCATCTCCGCGAGTATCAGAGTAAAGAGTAATTGGATCATTTTCTCTCTACTTTTCTGGACAGTTGAGATTAGATGTTGCGGGGGAAATTGAGGGCTGGGATTTCAGGACGAGGTATAGATTGATCAGAGAAATGAAAACTGAAAGAGGAGGGGATTAGGGTTTTACAATTTCCTCTATGCAAGAAGCAAGATCCGAACTCCCAATCAAACCTTTTTATTTAAACGGGTGGGGCCGGAAACGGGTCGACTCGAATTGATGAATCCTTAAAGAATTGGTTGTGCACACAAATCAAAGGAAATTTGGACAGTACTTCCATCACCAATAAATTTTTTCAGCCATACATATCTCCAATTTTTTTTTTTTGGATCGACACATTGGTCTTCACTCCATCAAAGTGTCACACAACTTGTATGTGACCATGGATGTAAATCAAGATTATTTTTTTCTATCTTCACTACTTTTTCAAAAACAGTAAAAAGAGAATAAAATAAAAAACGAAGAAGAAGAAAAATAACATCGACCACAACTTTGTCATCTATCACCTCCATTGTTGAGACTCAACGTTGGCTTCTTTTCAATCTCAAAATCCAAATTTCTAAATTCTTCCATTGTCTTGCTTTGTGGGTCAACATTCATTTGATAGTATTATTACGAAATAGTAAGAGAGAGATTTCACCGTGAATTGTTACTTGGACAGAGCAAAAAGGTCGAGAATGAAGGAAATAAATTGTTTTACCTAGGGCAGAATTTGGTTATGAAATACTACTGAATAAAATAAAATTGTTGTTAAGAAAATTAATAAATGGCTAATTACATGAAAATGGACTGGACCTTTGACTCAAAATCTTTCAATTAGGAGAAATTGTGTATCTCAATCATTTACAAAAAATGGGTCCCCCCAAAAATTTTCAGTTGTAATGCCGACATTGTAAATAACTTCGTGGACGCGTAAATGTGAACATATAATGATTTAGCCGTGTGCGTGACATATCTGCCCACAATTGTGGTCGGCTACACTAATGACAATTACTCAAACACGGTACGCAGATTAAATAGGCAAATTCTCAAGCATAACCATCATATTTGATTGAAACACAATCAGTAAGTAGTTCACCAAGAAAAGGTAAATGTGAAAGTTGGGAATTCTAAAAAACTTTTGAGAGCCAACATAAAATTAGGATGGCTTGTAGTACTTTGTGGGTACGAAAGGCATTTTCGTGACAGAACCATCGTAGGACTTTCCTCGAATCACAACCTTAACTTTGGTGCCCGCCTTGTGCTGTCCAGATTTTACGTACCCCATGGCTATGTTCTTCTTCAGGCAGGGGCTAAATCCTCCGCTGGTGACTTCTCCTATGTTTTGTCCTTTGTCGTCCTGAACCTCGCTGTGACTTCTGGCTGGTGGACCTGAGGAGAAAAAACCAACTCGCCTTATTTTGGGGCCCTCTTCGATTTGTTTGAGTATTACTTCAGCACCGAGAAAACCTCCATCTGCCCTTCGTCTCTTCCCTATTGCCCATGTAAGTCCTGCCTCGACTGGAGTTATGTGCTGCTCCATGTCGTTGCCATATAAGCACAACCCAGCTTCAAGTCGAAGACTGTCTCGGGCGCCTAAACCTGTCAACCGTACCTTACCTTCAGATTTCTCCAGAATAGCTTTTGCAAGATCAACAGCATGCTCTGAAGGAACTGAAATTTCAAAGCCATCTTCACCTGTATACCTGAAAGTTCATAAAGTTAGCTTTGTAATGTTGTTCCCACAGCAAGTTTCAAACGTGAACTGCATTTGACAGAACTGGATAACATAATCTTAGTACGGTATACTACTGTCTAGTCCTTCCCGCCGGATATACGACAAAAAGTAAGGCCTGGCATAAAATTAACTTCTGAACATTGTGAAAGTCTTGAAGAAACGAGCAAAGCAAAGATATATAATTAGACAATCTAATCGACTCTCCCATGACGTCATTAGAACTCTCTGTTAAGCAAAAACCCGGAATTTTTATTTTGACATAGTACTTAATAATCCTTTTGTCGTCAAGTACATTTCTCTACATATCCTTGTTGAGAGGAAGAGGATACTTTTTGCATACTGTCAGCTAAGTTCTCATAACATACCCAGTTCTAGTAAGGTAGCAGGGCACACCATTTATATCCAAGATCCGAAAGTCGCTGAAGTAAATCTTACTCAAATCATCTTTTGTCAGGTGCTGTAGAACAGGGGCCGCAAGGGGACCCTGCACCAGACAAGAAGAGATGTCATATAAGCACCAAATCTTAAAATAACGAGCTAAATACATTAGTGTCTCCCTTCACTTACCATTCTTGTGAATGCCGCCTTAACACACACACACACACACGCATATACAACTCCTCCAACATGCACCCAACGAAAATACCCAAGAATAGACAAGCAATAGACCCAACAATGAGAAAATTAAACCAACCTAAAGAAAATCGAACAGCACAAAATATCTTCACTTGATAAGCAACAGGTGACAATTAATTTCAGTAGACAAAACAATGCATAGAGCATGGATCAGAAAAGTAGACATAGAGTTTTACTGTTAATTTCTTATTGTCCATAACGTACTCATTTATTAAAGAAGAAAAACTTCATGAAAAAAGGACACTTAAAAGTGACTGCGAAAGGTACAGGATTGTGACAACAGACCTGGAGGGCCAAAAGGGATCGCTCATCATGGATGTGCCAAGAGACATCACCACCTTTCGATGTGAATGATTTCATATGTTCCTCAATATGGGCAAGATCTTTGTCTCTGCATCCTGCATTAACAACCAAGTATATGTGGTCATTTGTCACCTTAGTTATCACCGAATCGTCAATTGCACCTCCCTTCTCATTTGTGAAAACTGTCAAAGACCCTGTGCCAGGTGCAAGACCAGCAACATCGGCAACCACTAGCTTTTCAAGAAACGGTATGCTGTCCTTCCCTTTGAGACTTAAACCACACATATGAGAAACATCAAAAAGGCTACCATTCTCCCTACAGTTCAACGTGGAGTCCATAATTGAGTCCTTGTACTGGATTGGCATACTCCAGCCGGCAAAAGGAACCATCTTTCCCCCATTGGCAACATGGAAATCATACAGAACTGTCTTCTTCAGATCAGCTTCAGATGCAAAGCATCGACAGGTGATGGTCTTCTTATTAGCCTGGGCTAATTGACGAGTAATTGATTGACCAAGTTGCCACAGTCCCCCTCCCCTCATCTTTGTATACACCTGGTAAAGGCATCACGTTAACGAACCTCAAGAGAGCAAAAGTAAGAGACGAAATCAGAAATGCACACAAGCAAACCCACAAATTTCAGTGAATCATCCTCAACGTGAATCTACCTCAACTTGTTGATAAATGACTTTCACTATAAAGAAGAATATTAGAACAATGATCTCACACCTCTCAATCTGTGTCTGACAGGAAATAGGCATCTAGAAACTCCTTTATATATGTACAGCAACTTAATACATGTCACATATATATAAACTAATTCTGGAGCTAAAATAAATCTGGAATCAAGGTTTGGAATGGTTATTCGTTTTCAAAATTTAAACCCATCGAGCAAAATGTCGAGGACCAAAACCTCTTCAAAGGTGACAAAATGTACAAGTAACTTTTAGCATTTGGCTCAATGTGTAGTTAGAACATAGAATTGATAGTTCAAATATGTACACATTTTCTGCCATCCATCATAAACAGAGAGAATCAAAATCTGATCAATTCTTTCTCATATATATATGTACAAGTACTTTTAAATTAAATAACACGTAGAACCCAATTCAAACGTCATTCCCAACCCAGATCCCAACACTATTTCCCATGAGATTCATACAAATAGATCTCTAATACCAGAACAAAAGAAGTATATGATGAGCAGCAAAAAATACAAAAACTTGATGCAATTGCGAGCATTCAAAACAAGAATTAATAAAATGCTCGTATGAAAAAATTCAAACAAGAGATTCAAGAACGCTTACCGAATCAAAAGCTAAAAGGGTTCCTTTTTCTTGAAATTGGTTTTCGTGGAACCTAATTCCGAATCTTTAGCATTGATATATATATATATTCTCGCGTATATATATGTGTGACAGGTAATATGATATGATAATGGTTTAATAATATATAAGATAGGAAATGTTTGGTGGGATGTAGTGGGTGGAGGAGGTTTTCTTCGGTGAATCGAGGCCCATCCTCAGCGAGTGGTGCTGAGATTTTCAGTTACCCAATTCTCTCTCTGTTTGGTAAAGAGGATGCGACTTGGAAACGCATTAAAAAGGAATTTTTTTTCTTTTTCTTTTTCTTTCTTTGGATCTCTTATTTTTAGCCAAAAAATTGTATAAAATTGATAAACAGTGCAAGACATACATAGACTTTCTCATGTCTAGACACAACATTATTAAAAATATTTTCTCCCAATATCAAGTCATATTTATTCTTTTGATCGCAAGTTCATTACTTGTCACACTTCGACGAGACACTGTCACTCAGCATGTTCAACTCTCATTAGATCTTTTGTTTTTGTATTCAATTCAAAATGTGCACCATCTTTAACGATACGTTTTTATTGAAGTTCCTCACTTTTCAGCTAAACAAGAAAAGCTTTCAATCAAATTCAGAAATTGGATTTGATGTCAAGGTAGCATTGTCAAAGAAAACATTCTTAATTTTGTTACAAAAGAGATTAAAAATATCTTATTCTCTAGCTGATATGACAAGAATTCCAACGAAAATGTTTTACAGTCTTAAGAAACAGCATATAAACTTGCTTTCTCTTACTTTTTCTTTTTCCAAGTTTTTCTGCTAATGCATATACAAGTAAACCAAAAACTCTGAAGCTTCAACATTTTTCAGGAAGCACACTTCAATAATGGCCAAAAAAAAAAGTGACTTCGATCACCCAAAGCTTATGTAAGCTAAGCCCTGCACCCCACTCCCTCTTCTTTAGTGAGACTTGGGTTTCGTTTTAAAAGATCAATAGTTATGCATGAAACTTGTGATACCACTTTTTGTGAACGCCCAAAATTGGGTTATTACGCCTATTTTTACGCGCGAAGACATAAAAAATTCACTTACAGAAAAAGGAACATAAACAAGTACGAATTCAAAACCCAAACCCCCAACAAAGATGCTACCGACAAACTACACTGTATAATCAATTCCAAATGCATACACAGACACACGAAGTAATAAACACCACCAAAGGCAATAAGGAAAATTAGTTATAATATTACTTAACTGTGTACTTATAATGGATAGAACATATATACAGGTATATCTGTGATTTGCACTTCCAATGCAATAACGGGAAAGAATAGGTGATGGACCGAGTCTATAAAAGAAAAATTGTTTGGGTCCCTAATGCCATTCCGTCTACTCATTTATACTACACCATCATTCAGAGGCTGGAACGAGGCATTGAAAGCTCTCAAACTCGTAGAACAGTTGCTACGTTTTCGGTTCCAAAAGGCTTTCATGTCGACAATGGTGGGAGGCAATTCGATAGACCGAATTTCCGCGTTTGATTGTGTTTACAATTTTATATATAAGCATACATATAGAATGCGTACATATGTAGCTATTAGGGTTGTCTTCTACTTTCAAATTCATGTTTCACACAGTAAACAAGAAAAGCTCATGTTGTTGATTGTTAACAAGAACGTACGAGATGCACACTACAGCAAAGTTTGCTTTTTACGGTGTGCATTGCAAGCTATAAAAAGTTATTTACGGCATACATGTAAACGTCATATAAGTCATGCCGTAAATACTCATCACCTCCTTTTACGGCCTACATTGCATGCGGTAAAAAATGGAAAGCACGACGTAAATAAACTTTTTATGACATGTAGAAGCATGCTGTAAATACTAACTTTTGTACGCATGCCATAAAAAGACGATATTTTCTACGACATACTTTAATTGCAGTCGTAAATATCCATTTAAATTTTTTTTAAAAAATTATTTATTTGATTACCAAACCTAAATGATTAAAGAACATACTTATATGCATAAACACACATATAATCTTGTTTTCTATAAATTCAATAAATAAATGTATTGAGTGCGATCATTGACACAGGTAAAAGGACTGTAGGACTTTATCTCATTGAAGTCAATTCTGATTCAGTTCATCTTTCCAAAATTGTTAACCCCCTTTCCTTTTTAGTGGTCAATAATGTAACTGATAAAATTTGGCACAATAGACTTGGCCATTTATCATTACAGTTTGTTTGTAATAGACAAAACGGTGATGTTGTAATCCCTTGCCCTATCTGTTCTTTAGCTAAACGAAGGAGGTTATCTTTTGTTTCAAACAATCATTTATCTGATGCTGCTTTTGATTTAATTCACTTTGATATTTGGGGGGTCATATCACATCCCAACACATGCTAGTCATAGATATTTCTTTACTTTAGCTGACAATTGCACAAGGTTTACTTGGATATATCTTATAAAGCAAAATTTTGGCGTTAATTTCATCATTCCAAAGTTCTTCATTCTCATTGAGACTCAATTTCATAAGACAATCAAGAAATTCATATCAAAAAATGCTCAAGAGTTAAAATTTACAGAATACTTCAGTTCCAAAGGAGTTATTCATCAGTTTGCATGTGTAGAAAGACCTGAACAAAATTCTGTAGTAGAAAGGAAACATCGGCATCTTCTTAATGTGGCTCGAGCTTTATTTTTTCAATAAAGCGTTCCAATCCAGTTTTGGGGAGAATGTGTGCTTACAACCACATTTTTTATTAACAGAACCCCTTCACTGAAAAATAACACTCCATTTTCACTTTTATATGGTACTTCAATAGATTACAACTTCCTCAAGGTGTTTGTGAGCCTTTGTTTTGCTTGGACACTACCATCCCATAGAAATAAATTCCATCCACGAGCTGCGGCATGTGTCTTTGTAAGCTATCCTCCAGGCATTAAAGGTTATAAAATTTTATGACATCTCCTCTAAATCATTTTTTGTTTCTAGAGATGTTTGTGTTTCATAAGAATCACTTTCCCTTTCATTTAATACCTCACACAACTGATCTCATTGATCCATTTCGTAATATCGTTTTACCTCACATTGCCCCTGATCCAACTCCCTGTCATTCCTCTCCAAACACGATTTCCACTTTGCCCTTAGATGGCAATGAAAACGATCATGTTCCCACTGATTTGCCCACCATCCCTTTTACATCTACATCCTCAATTTCGGACTCTATCGAAGAACGAGTACCAGATTCTAATCACCCCTCATCTTTTCTCCCTAGAAGATCAACTAGAATTAGTAAAACTCCTTCATATCTTCGAGAATTCCATTGTAATCTACTAACAAACACCTTGAGGGAATGTTAGTTAGTTAGTTGGTAGTTAAAATTTGTAATTCAGTTAGTAAGTTGAAAGAGTATTCTGTTTTTCAAACTCTATTTATACTATGGTTGTATGACATTTGTGAATTTGAATGAATAATTTTTCTTCCATTTTACAGACTTGATCTTCAATAGGATTGAATGGCTGATGGCTAATTGAACTAAAAATGATTATTACATACCACATAAGCCCCAAATTACCTGGGTTTGGAGAGGGAAAATTTTAAGAAACTTGGATGGCTTATTGACCGACGGCTGCGATTCCCGATTGAACAAAAGCCCCAAATTACCTTCATTCTTGGAAGAGGGAAGAGGAAGGTTTGGGCGGCAGAAATAACAGGGAAGGAGAAAGAAGAAAACGTGGAGAATAGAATAAAGAAAAGAAAACGAAGGAAATAAAATTTGTCAAAGGAAGCAAAAAAAGAGAGAGAGAGGAAAATAAAAGAAAATCCATTTTTTTACGGTGTGTATGCCGTAAAAAATCCTGCTTTAAAACAAAAAAAAAATTATATTTTTAGTGGCGTGCTCAAATATATTCCGTATTCTGTAAAAGTTACCGCTTAAATATAAAGTAAATCAATATTTTACAACACACATAAATGAACATCGTAAAAAAGTCTCTTTTTTCTTACATTTTTACAGCGTGCTTAAATGTAAAACCATAAATAATTCTTCTTTTAAAAAAAAAAAAAATCACAAACAAACTATTTATGGCATGCTTGATAATTATGTCGTAAACATAGACCATTTGCGGTGTGCAAAAGCTACTTTTGTTGTAGTGGCAACTTATAAAAGAAAGACTATAAAATTTGTCAGTTACTATGTTTTACTATGCTCCATAAGAATCCATAATCCGAATTCCAGTAAGTTTTCCTGCTTTAGAGTTAATACTTGTCGTAGCATCTATTGAATGTTGCTTCAAATCAATAAGAGAATAAGATTAAAACTTGGCTTAACGCTGGATGGGGAATACAAGATTCAAATAATAGTTTCAAATGCATATCAAAACTTACAAAATTGAGGCCTCTAAAAATCAAAAACTTCCAAAAGGAGGGAAAAAAAAAAGATGAGTGCACTATGCAGGAAGGACCACAATGATGTGATAGTTGAACTTCGCCTTTGGATGTCATGTAATCCCAAGATCCCCTGCTTTTCTGTATTAGATCGAATCAGGGATTCATGATTCCTCTAAAGCTAATCCCCAATGCCTTCATCGGAGGGCGCTCACAAAAGCCAGCAATGAGTCAACGTCCCTCTTCTCAGAGGGATATTTTATGGGATGCGATGAATGCTTAGGGAAGAAAAGTATAGTAGGAAAGCTCCCTAGCTGCAATTCTTGCTGCGCGAATGCCTTCTCCTCCCCATCTGCCCTGAATTTTCCCACCTTAACACCAGATCCGGCCAATTTCTCAGCCAATTCTACGTATGAACCTTCCATTGCCTAGTCAAGAATCAACAAATATTGTTAACAATGAAGTCCTGATCCACGAGATAGAGGAGCAGCACAATTGTTATCAATAAAAGGAGCATTTACCTGGCAAAATTGGCACCAAGGTGCATAAAGCACGACAACCCAAGGCTCCCTCCTATTTTCCAGTCTCTGTAAATTCTCAATTCCAGGCTGGCTCAAGTTTACAACATTCTCAGTGACAAAAAGATCTGCATGCGTAGAAGATCCATTTGAGTGAACAGCGCCATTTCCACTTCCGTTTAAAGTTTCTTCCTTAATATTGCCTTTATGCAGTCCACATTCCTTGGCCTTGGAATCCTCCCACCACCATCTTCCTTCTCTCTCGTGTTGCCCAGGTAGGACCGGTCGAGTGCATGGTTCACATCCAATCGAGATATACCCTTTGGCATGCAATGAGTTCACTGGCACATTCATGGTCCGTAAGAACTTCCAAACATCATCGCCCTTTACGTTTGCCACTGGGTTCCACTTCACCAAGCTTCCAACCCCACCGTCCATTCCCTCGAAAACAGGGTCTACCTGGACAGCTGGAACTTCCGACCGAGTGCCAGGGGACTGATCCTTACGCTGTCCAGTTATCCATGCACGCAACCCCTTGAGGGCCCTTCTCAGCGGCCTAACCTTCCTTACTCGGCAGCACTCCTGGTGGCCATCTTCATAAAACGAGAAAAGTCCCTTGCTCCTTACCAAAGCTTGAACTTCAACAGCATCAGGAAACATGTATTCGATGCGAATTCCATAGTGTTGCTCGACTTCATCAAAGAATTTATACGTCTCTGGGTTCAACCTCCCAGTGTCCAAGCTAAAAACTCTAAATGGCCGTCCAGTTAAACGTGCATATTCAATCAAAGCAACATCCTCCGCGCCACTGTATTAATTGAAAATAAAAACATGTCATTAATGTTTTTCAGCAAATTCATGTAAAAAATAATACGCTAACAACAAATTTTCTAGCACATAGCAAATTTAAGACAGCCTGTACCAAATGGCTATACAGGAAAAAACATTTCCTACAGTAAGCTTAATGCAGTAATACAAGTGATTATTATGTTTGAAACTTTCCATAAAGCTAACTAAATTCAATTATCACATATTTACAACAATAAATAGACCCGATTATGTTATTATTTTTCTTGTATTTGTTTCCTTTCGGGTTGAAGAGCCCCGTACCAATTCAGTGTACTCGATTTTCCTATACAATATTACACATGCATGATAAGTTTTCTGTGTAAAAAAAATAAGTTTGAAATGCAAAATAACTAACTTAATTAATTACTTATAAGCACAACCACACAAGCTCCAAAACTGAAACAACGTACTTTAAACAACTAGGATATCTCAATTCTTAAATAATTACATAAACTTACAAATTACAACATTTAGTAAAACAATCTGCATAAATTCATTGATTTGATAAAAATAAATAATCATCATTAAATTACCTAAAAGCAATAGCAATATCATTCCCAAATCTCTCAAGGGCCTTGTCCATAATCTCAAGAGGGGAAGCATTTTCAAGCTCCTTACCCAATTTTTCACAGTCTTCTACCTCTACTTTTTCAACCACCTCTGAAAAATTCCAAGAAAAAACAAGGGCAAATATGTCATTTCACTCTATCAGAGGTTTCTCCCTTGTAAAACCCCACACATTTGCAGAAAGATACTAATGAAATCCTATGTACCTGGTGCAACGGTAGTTGCAGCTGAGGGGACAATTGAATCCTTCCTCTTTGGCTCAGCATTCAATGGCTTGACGGCACAACGCCTCCTCGAAAATTTCACAGCAGTTGATGGGAGATTAAGCCTGTCCAATGGCTGAGAAGAACCAAATAGTGCAGCTAAAAAAGAATCGAAATTCACCCATGAAAAAAAAAATCAGAAACGATATTCTCAAATTTTAGGGAAAAACTCAGAAAAAAGGAAAAGAAAAGACATTAAGACAGGAATTTTAAGGAAAAATAGTACCTTTAGGCTGTTCAAAGGAAGAATATAAAGAAGAGCCATGAACTGCTGATGAAGATGTGAAAGATAAAGCCATTATGATAAACTTTTATCTGTCTCTATCTTCAAAATCTGAAACCTTAAACAAGAAAAATTACACTTTAGTTTATGGGTTTTTGAGAAATCTTGTGTGTGAAATAACTCTCTAAAAATTTGAAGCAGTGTTCAAGCATGAAGAGAGGGGCGGCCTCACCAGGTTCATTGAACCTGGACGTGTTTTAGGAAGATGTGACATGGCGTGTAATCATTGGATAACAGTCAACGTTGCTTTTGAATCAGCACTTTCATCGTGTGGCGAACCGACGAAAAGAGAGTCGTGGTGGAGAGAAAGTGCGATTTTCTCACCACTCAAATTAGATTCTTGTTGGATCTTTTGTCCTTTTGAATCTTTTCCTCTTTTTCAATTTTTTGTTGTACAATTTTTTACTAAAATAAAACTTTTATTTTCTTCTCAAATAGGTATCAGATTATCTTCAATTTGTTATTTTTTTAACTATTGTAGTATTAAAGAAAATGATTACAACAATCAAGTATACCGTCAATGCTTATTCTACTTTCTTAGAAAATTAATAAAAGTCGTGATGAAGCGAGTATACTGATGAAGAGAAAAAAAATTGCTAGTCTTTTTAGTTAATTTTATCTAATTTAATGTATAAAATATGATGATTTTTAAAAATCTCATTGGATCAAAATGCATGGTTGAATATTTGGTCAGGCAAATCATAAAGTGGTCGTTTTCAACAAAAGAAACTCTCATTAGCTTTCTTTAATCCAACTTGCTCACCTTTACAACTTTTTAAATGCATGAGTTCAATTATATAGTTTGATTATTTAAAGAGCTAAAAAGTAAATTGCACTGTAAAATCATTGTTCTGTAGTGGAAACTTGTGTTGTGGGCGGCGGCCATTCCAACTTTCGTTGGCCAAAATAGAATTGAACGAATGGGGGAAAAAAAAAGCCAAGATGACTCTTGGATGGCCGAACAGCCAAAGCATTGAATCAGCAACAAGATTCTACTAAAAAAAGTCTGAACTAAAGGAAAAAATACACCATCTACTTTGTACCAAATGTAAATTGCTAAATTGAAGGAAGAAATCTCCTGTTAATGAATTTCTGATGATCCAAATGTGTTCTCGCCACTGTAAGTCATGTAAAGAAACCCGTCTTCATCCTTGTAGTCCTCATAAATTTTCGACATCAACGAAGCTGTAACCACAGAGATATATCAGGATATTATATAATGTAAAATAAGGAAGTTCGAAGCACGAATTCTACTCACCCGAGGGAGGCAGGATGTTGTCAACAAAGACAAATATAGCCTTCTCGGCACTGAGCTTGATCTGCTTCCGGACCACATAAACAAACTGGCCAATGCACAAATCAGCAGGAACAAGATATCTGCACAAAGAAAGTAGAGTGACGAATGCATTTACACAAGGAAAAGCTAATCCCGATAATTCGACGCTCAAATTTTGAGTCGTAAAAACTTTAGGATTTTGTAGTTCGTACAAAAAAAAAATGGCCAGAAGAAGTGACCGAAATGATGTGGAGGGAAAAAATTTGATTGAAAAAGCTTACTATATTTTAAATTGACAAATGATAGTGTCATGTGACATTATGTAAGTCATTATATAATCATTGATGTGCATGTAGCATTGTGCAAAACTTTATTGGAACTCCACTCTACAATAGAAAAGATTTAGTGTAAAATCCATCTTTCCAAACACGCCATAAACGTTTAGTCGGAGTTAACAAAACTACAGTGAGGCATAATGAAACTTACTTCTTTTTATCAATGTCAGGAACATCACTCCTACCTGCCTTCTCAACTACAACCTGAATGAGCATATAATGTAAGCATAAGTACTACGAGCGATATAGAAATTTTATCCTCAAATGGAAGCTGTTGACTTCTAAGGGAAAAGCTCTTACTGGTATTCTATCGGGATACTTCTCTCTTATGCGAGTGGATTCTGCCTTCCTCTTCTCTTTCATTAAGGAAAAAAGAATGTCAGAATACATGCATGAGGTGAAACTGAAATATTTTTGAAAGAAACTGCTAAAAGTGCAAAAACGGTAGATACGATCTTTGAACGTCAGAAAAGTTTGTATAACGCTTGCTGGTAAAATTTCAAAAGCTCACTTCATAATCCCAAAACACTGTAATTTTGGTAAAGCTGACTTTTGAGCTCTATTGTCGTACTTCAAAAATAGAACTCTCAGCCGCCAAATTCAGAACTTACCAGAAATAGAGTTCTAATCATCTAATGTCTGCATTCACATTATTGTATTCTTCGCCACAAAAGTTGAAGCTAGAGAAAACCAAAAGAACAATATGCACAATTTTTTTGTTCAAAGACAAAAGAGGAAGCAAACTCGAAATTCGTTTATGTTGCTATTTTTCAAGTAATTTGTACGTGCAGGTGAGATAATATGACTTACAAGAAATGCTTTTATAGCACGAAAATAAATTTTCTACAACACTTTACCCTCATAACATATATTTAGGAACAGCAAGAATTGTAGTCTTTTTAGCCAAAGTATTAATCACCCAAACTTCAAAACTCAGCTACAACCATGAACCATCGGTGAACAAAAAAAAAGTGCATCAAGATATAGGACTCACGATTCCCTTCGAATCTCACTACAACAGTATTATCCCTTTGAGATTAAATTGAATTTGTCAAATTCAAAAAGATCAATATTTTTTCAATTGAAAATCCCAAATTTCATATCCACAATCACGCAGCAAGGACAATGCACACCATTATTATATAACAATTCAACCACGAAATGTGAACAAACCCAGGAAGCCCATGCACCCAAACTCCTAGAACAAGTAGTAATTTCAATACAGCATCAACCACACAAATCATAACACCCTTTCCCCTATCAAACAGGAATACCCAGATAAAAAAATTATTTCCCCAATGTTTATAATAATTATGGAACTCTTAACTTTTACCCAACGAGTAAACCAATTTAATGGAAACAAGAATATAAAATTATATCCAAATTGCATGCATTAATAGATAAACGAGAAAAAAAAAAGTAACCCACCCAAGGGATTTTGAATCTTGAATGAACTATTGGCCATGGCAAGACTCAAAGTTCGCTCCCTCCCTGCAAGTTTCAAACACCGGAACAACATCAGGACTCAAAAAATTCTCACACGTCCATACAATATTCACGCACATAACATATACATTGAGTAAAGAAAACATTCACGCAATTGGGTTCCTTTCAAACTTACAAAAGAAGAAAAAAGGGGTTATGGAGTTGAAAATTTGCTGTTGTGATTGGACTGTAATGAACTAATAGTTAAAAGGGCTATCAAAGTCAAGAAATTAGAACGAATGAATTGTTAAAACAGAGTAGAATTTGATGAGGAAAAGGATTTGGAATTTTGATTCTTACACGTAACCGACTTACTAAGGGCCCACAGTTTTTTTTTCTTTTTTTTGGTACCCCACTATTGCAAGGGAGTGTCAACTCTCAATCTCTGATATACAAATAACAAAATCCACCTTGGTACGCAAATAGCAAGACCTTATGTTAGGAAATTCGGGAAAATTTTATGGTTCAGGCATTTACTTTACCAAAATTAAAAACCAGATCTCAAAGTTTAAATTTGCAAAAATCAGATTTTTTTTAATTAATTAATTATATTTCACAATTATTATATTACATTAAATATTTAACTGTAATATAATATAATCAACCCACCTCACCCCACCAACACCACCGCCATTGCTCCGGTTACTACTCCGACGATCGGCGACTGCTCCGATCCGGCGACCGGCGACTGCTCCGATCCGACGACTTTTTCGAGGTCACAGAACAAGAAATTTGTAGGTCACGGGTTATTTCGAGGTCACAGATAAAAAAATTTGTAGATCACAGATTATTTCGAGGTCACAGATTTAAAATTTTATAGGTCACAGATTATTTCGAGGTCACAGATGAAAAAAATTAAGGTCACAGATTCCTGTTTTAAGTTACAAATTATCAATTTCAGTGAGTCACAATCACAATTTCGAGGTCACAGACACCCACCTAGGTCACAGGTTGAAAAAAATGGTAACTTTTACATGGCACGACTCTGTTTCAGAGTGAGTCACGGACGACCACCTAGGTCACAGACACAAAAAAAGACACAGTTCAATAGCTTGGTCACAGACAAAAATAAAACACCAGTTCAATATCTAGGTCACAGACACCCAAAAAGCTAGGTCACGGACCAAAAAAAACGAACCACCGTCCACAGATCCACCACCACCGCCCAAAACATACCACCCGTTCACCCACAAACATAGATCTGCCACCCAACTCACAGATCCGCCACCCACACACAGATCCGCCTCCAAACATACACAGATCAACCACCCACAGCACATCACCACTGCACTGCCATTCTACCACAAAAAAAAAAATCTGCCAGCAGCGAGAATGGCACAAAAAAAACATCAACGAAGCTGTAACCACAGATATATATCAGGATAATTTAAAATAAGGAAGTTCAAAGCACGAATTCTACTCACCCGAGGGAGGCAGGATGTTGTCAACAAAGACAAATATAGCCTTCTCGGCACTGAGCTTGATCCGCTTCCGGACCACATAAACAAACTGGCCAATGCACAAATCAGCAGGAACAAGATATCTGCACAAAGAAAGTAGAGTATGCATTTACACAAGGAAAAGCTATTCCCGATAATTTGACACTCAAATTTTGAGTCGTAAAAACTTTAGGATTTTGTTGTTCGTACAAAAAAAATAGCCAGAAGAAGTGACCGAAATGATGTGGAGGGAAAAAATTTGATTGAAAAAGCTGATTGTATTTTAAATTGATAAATGATAGTGTCATGTGACATTATGTAAGTCATTATATAATCATTGATGTGTATGTGGCATTGTCCAAAACTTTGTTGGAACTCCACACTACAATAGACAAGATTTAGTGTAAAATCCATCTTTTCAAACACACAATAAACGTTTAGTCGGAGTTAACAGAACTATATCAAGGGATAATGAAACTTACTTCTTTTTATCGATGTCAGGAACATCACTCCTACCTGCCTTCTCAACTACAACCTGAATGAGCATATAATATAAGTACTACGAGCGATATAGAAATTTTATCCTCAAATGGTAGCTGTTGACTTCTAAGGGAAAAGCTCTTACTGGTATTCTATCGGGATACTTCTCTCTTATGCGAGTGGATTCTGCCTTCCTCTTCTCTTTCATTAAGAAAAAAAGAATGTCAGAATACATGCATGAGGTGAAACTGAAATATTTTTGAAAGAAACTGCTAAAAGTGAAAAAAACAGTAGATACGATTTTCAGAATTCAATGACCAAGGACTTGGTCTAAAGTGGCAAAGAGAACCAAGGTCGAGGCTATGAGACTGCAAAGTTTCAAGTTTCTTTATTGTGAGTTCATGAAGGTTTATATCATGGGCATCCGACAAAAGGAAACACAATGCAGGATCCCCTCCGTAGTATCTAAACCATTGGAACCAAATCCCCGAAGCTAAACCGATCTTTGAACGTCAGAAAAGTTTGTATAGCGCTTGCTGGTAAAATTTCAAAAGATCACTTCATAATCCCAAAACACTGTAATTTTGGAAAAGCTGACTTTTGAGCTCTATTGTCGTACTTCAAAAATAGAACTCTCTGCCGCCAAATTCAGAACTTACCAGAAATAGAGTTCTAATGTCTGCATTCACATTATTGTATTCTTCACCACAAAAGTTGAAGCTAGAGAAAACCAAAAGAACAATATGCACAATTTTTTTGTTCAAAGACAAAAGAGGAAGCAAACTCGAAATTCGTTTATATTGCTATTTTGCAAGTAATTTGTACGTGCAGGTGAGATAATATGACTTACAAGAAATGCTTTTATAGCACTAAAAAACATTTTCTACAACACTTTACCCTCATAACATATATTTAGGAACAGCAAGAATTGTAGTCTTTTAGCCAAAGTATTAATCACCCAACTTCAAAACTCAGCTACAACCATGAACCATCAGTGAACAAAAAAAAGTGCATCAAGATATAGGACTCATGATTCCCTTCGAATCTCACGACAACAGTATTATCCCTTTGAGATTAAATTGAATTTGTCAAACTCAAAAACATCAATATTTTTTCAATTGAAAATCCCAAATTTCATAACGACTTTGCCATTCAATCCACAATCACGCAGCAAGGAATGCACACCATTATTATATAACAATTCAACCACGAAATGTGAACAAACCCAGAAAGCCCATGCAGCCAAACTCCTAGAACAAGTAGTAATTTCAATACAGCATCAACCACACAAATCATAACACCCTTTCGGCCTTTCCCCTATCAAACAGGAATACCCAGATAAAAAAATCATTTCCCCATTGTTTATAATAATTATGGAACTCTAACTTTTACCCAACGAGTAAACCAATTTAATGGAAACAAGCATATAAAACTATATCCAAATTGCATGCATTAATAGATAGACGAGAAAAAAAAAAGTAACACACCCAAGGGATTTTGAATCTAGAATGACCTATTGGCCATGGCAAGACTCAAAGTTCGCAACCACCCTGCAACCCAAGGGATTTTGAATCTTGAATGAACTATTGGCCATGGCAAGACTCAAAGTTCGCTCCCTCCCTGCAAGTTTCAAACACCGGAACAACATCAGGACTCAAAAAATTCTCACACGTCCAAAAATATTCACGCACATATCATATACATTGAGTAAAGAAAACATTCACGCAATTGGGTTCCTTTCAAACTTACAAAAGAAGAAAAAAGGGGTTGTGGAATTGAAAATTTGCTGTTGTGATTGGACTGTAAGGAACTATTAGTTAAAAGGGCTATCAAAGTCAAGAAATTAGAACGAATGAATTGTTAAAACAGAGTAGAATATGATGAGGAAAAGGATTTGGAAGTTTGATTCTTACACGTAACCGACTTACTAGGGGTCCACAGTTTGTTTTTTTTTTTAATTGTGCCCCACCATTGCGAGGGAGTGTCAACTCTGATATACAAATAACAAAATCCACCTCGATATGCAAATAGCAAAACTTTATGTGTTAACGAGGGTGCTTAAGTGCTGATTGCGTTAGTTTGGCTTTAGTCGGGGATTCCGGTCTATTAAGTCACAGCTGTTACTTCGTTGCGGGCCATTTCCACTTTCGGCATTCATTGTTGGGTTTTGGAGTCGTTTTGGTTGTGTAATGTTGTTTGCTTGTTTCGTTGGTTGTGTTGTTGTACAGTTTGTCTTTGTCGTCTCTTTTGTTGTAGCTCTGGTAGCACGTAAACTCTCTTAGGAGAGCATTGTGTTTGGGGTTTTTCTCATTGTATCAGTCTTTGCTATTTCAATGGATTTGAATTTGAATTTCAAAAAAAAAAAAAACAAGGGAATTGTCCTGCTGCGTACAGAAAAAGGTCCTTCAGAATTGCTACACAACATACTCGACAGTTTTCTATTGAAAAATAAAAAAGACCAAACAGATGCTGCCACACCTATTGAAATTCTGACATCAATTCCTCTGTACGAAGGGAATTGCTGATCTTTTCTATTCTACTAGTGTTATTGGTCACGTTAGAATATTGATATAAGATCAATTAAATATATATTAATATGATTTATTTAATATCACCTAGTATTATCTAGATTAATATTGTAAATGGTGATAGAAAATTGCATTATTCAATCTTAAATTATCGAGAATTATTTATTTCATTTCATCATCCTCTTCATGATGGGTGATCTATGACCGTCGATTAGTTGAGGTCACACCCTCTCACGAAACATTGCACTAAGTTTACTTGCAGTAGACAAGTAAGCCAAGAGTAAGTTGGTCAAAATTAGGAACAAGTAAGTTAAAATTTGAGCAAGCATGTTATGATGTTAATGGAAAAAAAATTATTTCTCACGTTGGATGTCAACATCTGTAGGGATCAGGGTAAACTAGGATTGAACTCTTCATCCTTTCAAGTGATGTTACTATGAATCCCTAACTTACTTGAATATGTAAATTCGGATCCCTATGTAGGTGATAAAAATAGTTAAATTGAACATTCGCATTGCAACTTTCAAGTCAATTGGAGATATTGTTTAGTGGTATGACAATTTTGTTTTCTATCTATTAGTCATCTTGAAGTTATGTTTGATTTTAACATCTATACCACTAATTTTGATAGGACTTTCAGAATATCCAAGTTAAGCACTCGTTTGGTGGGAATTAAAATCAGATTTTTAGTAAATTTTGGTAAAATGTGATAAAATGTATGGTTGAAAAATTGTGGGACTCATAAAATCTGTGGTTGAAATGAATTGTTGACTTTGCTTTAAATTACAATTTAGATTTTAATCGAATACCAAACGGGGGCTAAATAAGTTTGTGACCCAAAGTTCACTTTTGAAGGTTAAGAATCATATTTAAACCACATGAATGGTTTGGGAGCTCGACCCTAATTTACGCGTAAGAATCAGGAAGATTTGACAAATCACGTGACTTGGGCTAATTTGCTCATAAATGGGCCATTGATTAGCTATCACAAAAGGACGCCCATAACTCGAAAGCCCAAATCCCGCCTTCAATTTTCCCGCGTCTCAATCCTCTATTTAAAAACCCAATCTTCCCCCAACATTCTCAAACCATCCCTCTAGGGTTTACATTCAGTTTCTCTACCTCAGAAACACGCAGTTATTCGCACATTTGCTTTTGCTCGCCATGAAATCTAGAGTGAGATGCAACAATTTCAGAACATCGAAATCGCGGACATCTTTTTACACATACCTTAAGCCTGGAGCTTTATCCCAAATCAGATACTCGAAAATCGCCGGACAATCAAAAGAAATTGATGCTCAAACACTGATTGCATGCCAGCTCAAGTCATGTTCAGAATCAGCGTTTTCACAAACAAGTCCGATTACAGATAATTCAATCGAGAGGTTTCCTAGTTTCAGTTCGAGGTTCCTGAAGAATTACCCTCGGTGCCTTCAGCGCAAGAAACTTATTGCAGTCACGCCATATTTTTCTTAGACGCAATCTTGATCTATGTATTACTGTTATTCATTTTACTAGGGCATCGCTGAAAAACATAAAAAGGAAAGAAAGATACAATTATTTAATTTTCCTTTTGTTTTTGTTTTTAGATTTTGCTTTGTTGTAACTGATACACAGAAGAGGCTGATGTAGAATTAATAAAATGAAAAGTTCTATTTTACTTTGTTTTACATTTCGCTCTGTATGAATTTTTTTGTTTATCAGTTTGAATAAACGGCGATGCAGATGACAAGTGTAGGGTAACTGTTGGATTCGACTTAAGTATTATTCCTTTGTGGGATTGGATATTGGCAATTCATGATTCAAGAGCATGGGTATATTTTACCAATAAGGAAATTCCCAAAATTCAATCTTACCCAATTACCAATTAGAGATATTTATGAATTGGTCTTAGATTAATAAAGATGAAGTTTTACATACATTTTTTAGATTATTGCAATGTTTCTCATATTGAGCAAACAGAGCAGACTCCAACGATAAGAGATCTCTCATTTCTGAACTTGATATTCACACGATCTTCCATCAGGTTAAGTTTACATTTGCCTGATTGTGCTACTTTAAATCCTCTGTACTGTTCTTCCCCCTTCTTTGTCGTTTTGGGTTAAAAACTGATTAATCATTTAATATATGATAGAATGAGTCAGTTTCCTGCCTCATAAATGTCCTGTTTCATGTGGTGCAAGGGATAGCTAGCTGTGTAATATAATTGGTAGCCGGGAGAGCATCTCAAAGAGGGGATAGTCTTTCCCACTACAGTAGAGAACCCATTGGTGCATTTTATCTACATTGCCAGCCTATGTCGATAAAAGACTCCTAGTCCCTTTTCAACTAGAAGCAACGAGACTCCCAAGATATGATTTCTCTTGCACTCTTTTCAGATGCAAACTAATGCTTCATAACATTGAATTCTTCAGGACTGTGTATTGAAGCTGGAAAACACAACTTATAATGGTACTTAAGGAAACAAGTTATTCGAATAAAAAGTTTGCTATGAAGTTTTTATAGGTATTTCATTACTGCATTTCAGCTTTAACCGGAAATGTATTTAGTTAGTGCAATTCTGCTTTTCATCTCTAACTAAAGCATATACCTAGTTGCATTTTTATATGGAATATTTGGCTCATATGCACATTTCTGTTAATTGCAATAATCATGAATCTAATTCAAAGTAATGGATAACTGTTCTCCAACTGATAGCAATCTGAGGACAAATTAGCCTTTATAGGATGCATTCACTAACTAGATAGAACGATTATTTTTTAAACTAACACTAAAAAGTAAAGTTTGCTGCATGCATTCGCGCACAATGGTACTCATTTCCCTTTTTTGTCTTACACAAATCAGTTTTTTTAAATTACTGTGAGAAAGAATGTTTGTGATGGAGTTACTTCATAAATTCATTATTTTGGGTTCATAGAATGCATTCACTTGTAATGAAGCAGTTGATACTATAATAATGATTTACAGAGAAGGTTCGCTTGATGCATTTATGCTCAAGTCGTTCCATTTGCTCAGTGTCTCAATCGAATCAGTTTAAAATGACTGGTTCATATCAAATCTATAAAGCCTCTTTTAAAATATGTTGCTTTGAATTTTTACCATCTAGAGGACTTTCAAGAATTTGTGTGGGCATGTAAGCAATGCTGAAAATTAATTGACATGTCTACAGCTTTGTGTTTAAGTCTACTTCTTTTATTGAGTCAGTTAGGTGAAATTCACAGAGATCTCACATGTCTTTTTCAAGAAATTCAATTAATGCAGGAAACGATTTTATCGAAGCAAGCTGCAGATGCTATGCTTGGTCAATCAGAATTAAATACTAGTCTAAGTGAATTCTAAATTCGTCCATGTTCACAATTAGGTAATTGACAAATATACCTTTCTTAAAGTGATTGCGTTCTATCCCTTTTCTTCCACCTTTTTATTTTGGATTGATTTTGAGAAGCTTCTTAAAGTTGACATCGCCGGATCAGAAGGTACAACTTTATTAACTATTTGCTTAAACTCTCTAGTTCTACTTACATCCATGCAAAACAATCTTGAAAAATGAAACCGTGTGGAATATGGTTGCTTGCGGGTTATCAATGGGAGGTCTCGATTGAACACGTTGAAAGAGAAAAATTGTATGCTCCCTCACATACGCCATCTTGTGGTAGATGTGGGATGCAAACAGAGTTAGGTGATTTCCTTATTTTAGCCACATACGCCATATTAAAGGATATTGTTTACTGATTTATTGTTTGGATATTTCCTTAATTTAGTCTGGAGCTGTTGTATCACCTTGCTGGATAAATTGCCAGGTGACTGGTACTGTATAGAACTGAAAATTTTCCTCATTTGCTAGTGTATATGATCGTGTATAGATTTCATGCCTGGTTAATAAATTTCTCCAATAAATGTTGTTGGATCGCGGTCCATTTGGAAGTATAAGATGGGCTGTGCTGTTCAAGTCCAACACTTTCCGGGCGTGGTTCCTACGGCTTGTGGCCCACATGGGCGGGCCCGGAAAAACCCATTTTGTGACCAGAGTTGGCTAGCCATGATTTCAAATAATTTCTGTTTTTGAGTTATCGAAGCATTTTTAAAATTTTAGACCACTTTAAATTGATAACCAAAACTTAGGTTAGTAAAGTTGGATATAAATTAACCATGAGGGGTTGCTCAATTGGTCAGTTCTTGAGTTTGCTCCCCAATGGTCACCAGTTCGAGTCCCCTCAGGACCACTGAGGTGAGTACCCGACCGTAAACTTCAGGGTCCCGTGGAATTAGTCGAGGTGCACGCAAACGGTCCGGACATTCACGGTTATAAAAAAAAAAAAAAAAAAAGTTGGATATAAATTAAAATTAAGATTAACTAAATACCTAAACAATATGATTGAAACTGACTCTACAAATTCTTGTGGGTTTGGGTTCCATTTCTTGCTTTTCTAACGTAATTTTGAGGAAATACGGCTTGTGCTGGCTGGGATGAGTTATGCTATCTTGACAGAATTATGTATTTGGAATTATTTTTGCATNTTAATAAATTTCTCCAATAAATGTTGTTGGATCGCGGTCCATTTGGAAGTATAAGATGGGCTGTGCTGTTCAAGTCCAACACTTTCCGGGCGTGGTTCCTACGGCTTGTGGCCCACATGGGCGGGCCCGGAAAAACCCATTTTGTGGCCAGAGTTGGCTAGCCATGATTTCAACTAATTTCTGTTTTTGAGTTATCGAAGCATTTTTAAAATTTTAGACCACTTTAAATTGATAACCAAAACTTAGGTTAGTAAAGTTGGATATAAATTAACCCTGAGGGGTTGCTCAATTGATCAGGTCTTGGGTTTGCTCCCCAATGGTCACCAGTTCGAGTCCCCTCAGAACCACTGAGGTGAGTACCCGACCGTAAACTTCAAGGCCCCGTGGAATTAGTCGAGGTGCACGCAAACGGCCCGGACATTCACGGTTATCAAAAAAAAAAAAAGTTGGATATAAATTAAAATTAAGATTAACTAAATACCTAAACAATATGATTGAAACTGACTCTACAAATTCTTGTGGGTTTGGATTCCATTTCTTGCTTTTCTAACGTAATTTTGAGGAAATACGGCTTGTGCTTGCTGGGATGAGTTATGCTATCTTGACAGAATTATGTATTTGGAATTATTTTTGCATCGTTTGAATTCTTTTGGCGTTGAGTGTACGAAACATTTATTGCTCAATTGTTAATTAATTCAATGCATACGCACGCAATTCAGAACGTCATCATTTATCCCAAATTGTGTGGATCTCTAGGCACATCACATGGGTCTCACTCTCACCCAAATTAATTAATACAATTTCAAGAAATTAAATTAAAATAAATAGACAGTAAGAAATTGAAGTAATAATTTGATAGTGAAAATTATCGATAGTCATCATACGTAGTATACACATGACGATTTGTTTTCTGATGCATTAACGTGGTAATTTTTTTACATTATGTATCAAATAACAAACTGTCATGCGTATGTCACTTCACTATGAATAACATTATTTTTCAAGTTATAGTTCTTTTTTCAGAAAAAAATATTTAATTTATTTATGACATCAGTTCAATTTTGATGGCTTTTTAACTTTAATTTTTGTTAATTAAATGTACAAGGCCATTTTCGGAATATTGACTACAAGTAAAGTGTCGGTCTATAGTATATTATTTTGAGCTACTTGATTATTCTGCATTATTGTACCTCGAATAATTCAAATGGATTATTCAAATATTTGCATTATTGTTTGGGCACTTTATACTAATGGTTCATATTTATGGATGACAACTTCCCACCTACTACAATTGATGCACTTAAATGTATGGATTGACATGAAACTGAATATTCTATACATAAAATCGTACTGTTAGTTCAGTTTTATTCTTAGCCACCGTTTGGCACACATTCTCATCTCATTTTCATTCTTATTTTTTTTCTCTTTTTTAATTTCAACAACACATTCACCTAATAAAATAATATTACACACAAATCTAAAACTTTTCATAACTTTTCCACCACACATTTTTTCATCAATCACTATTCTAAAAATTTTATTCTCCAAAAAATGGGTGTCAAACACTAGGCACGTTTGTCGTCCTTTGAAAAATTGAGTTGATGTTTGAAGGGAATTAAAATTAGATTTTTAGTAGATTGTGATAGAAGTTTTGAAATGTGTGGTTGAAAAGTTGTGAGACACATGAAAGATGTGTTTAATATTGATTGTTTGATTTTGACTTAAATTAAAATTTGATTTTCATCCTAAACAAACATGGTCTAAATTGTTTGTTACAGTATCATTTCTTCATCATACAATAAAATATTCAACACACAAACCAAAAAAGTTTTCTTACTTTTTAGCCATGCATTTTCTGAAAAAATACTATTTCATAGCTCATTATTCTCAAATAAATTCTATCAAACTGGCACCTAGTTAAGAGCGATCACTTGCAATAGCATATGTAAAATTACCTAACTACCCTCGACATAGGCAAGTGACCACACAAGAAAGGTGTATGTGCGGGTTTTTTTAATTTAGAGCTATTCAACAAATTTCAGTGTTCTTTTCTTGTACTTTATTCCTCAGTCACAAAGCAGTTTTTTTCTTTTCGGTGACATTGTGATTTTAACAATAAAGCTCAAAGTAGAGGAAAATTTTGACATAATTGTTATAAAAGTTGACGTGGTCAAATCTGAATGGTTTTTTTTCCTCATCTACCAATGCAGTCATGCCAAGTGTGTCTGTCAAAATTTCATGTTCAAAAAATTTGTACCTATAGCATGATTGATGATTATAATCCCACTTTCGAATGAGAAGCCACAAGGACTAAACTTTACCATTTCATTTTCCATTTTCTATTTTCTACTATCTTCTATTTTAGTTTTTTTTTTAGTAATATTATCTAGTATTCTATTATTAATAATTAAGAGTGTGTTTGATGCATATTTTTAGGAGAAAGTGCATTTTTTTGATGTGATGTTATGGGGAAT